CTTCTTGACTCCAATTCCAGCATTTTGTCCACCATTTTGCTGACTACCTACCTGTTACTAACTCACCTTTCATCTTTCTATCTTCTTTCACAACCCCCATGATTTGGGTCCTTCTGAAACTGTATCCATTCAATGATTGGAAACCATATATTTACAGCATCAAGTAGGGGTGGGGGTGAGTGAGAGGGGGTGGTATTACTGTTTAAAATAGGTGCTTTTACAGCAAAGAGCAGGATATATACTTCAAAGGGCTATACAACTTCCCACAAATGGGGAAATATAAGTTATTATTACTTTTTTAAAAAAGTAGATTAGATACCCCAGCAAGTATCTTTTCAGCTTCTCTACCTAGAGAAGAGATTGGAATGCAAAACTGTATTACCCTGACTAAACTTAACCATAACATCAGAAAGCAGATCAGCTCATTACAAAGCCATCACAGCTAGTTACACAGACTCCAGGGCTACAACAGAACAAAAAACCATTCCAAGCAACTTTGATCACCTACCATCTCAGTTTAATCAAGTGACTTCCTAATTTGATTATGATTCATTATTTCAAATAGGTTTTCTGCACAGTCTCTGCATTAAAGATTAATTACATGCCTAGGGTCCATTAGATGAGATAAATAATCAATTTAGCAGATGAGCCTGTTAAAAGTAGAATCTTGTAAGTGGTATAAGAAGATAAAGGCTTTTGTCAATGTCCCATTAATGCATCTGGGAGTCACAGCTGCCCCACTGGGACCCACTGGCAGCTGGAAGGATTGAGACACTTGTTCCTGGAACCCTTCTGGGGTTCCCTCAGTTCCAATTAGTGTAAATCACGTAATAGCTACTAGGAATATACTTTGTGCTTGGACTCTGTGAGAGGATGGGGGTAGAGGGAGAAGAAGTCTTTACAAAAGAAGTATAAGGCATGCTTTCTTAACAAACTAGGAGTCTACATTCTAACTGCGGAAATAAAATAAACTATACACATGAAGCATTGAGTGAGTAAGACAATGTTAATTGTACAGCACAGGTGATAGACTGAGAATCAGAAAGGACTTAGGGGTCACCCAGGCCAAAACCTGCATTTACAGATGGGGAAACTGCAGACCAGGTGAGTGAACTGACTTGATCAAAGTACCCGGTGAGTAATTAGAAAAAGCCAGGACTTAACCTAAGTCCTCTCCTGACAAATCCAGGCCTCTTAACACTACACCAAGATGGTTGACAATAACTGCAAAAGAGATTAAAGAAGGAAGGTTACAATTTAAGTTATCAGCAAAGTCTACAAAGAGTATAGTTATTCCTTCCACATTGCAACTTTTACCATCAAGGTTTCAATACATCAAGTCAGCATAAGAAATTAAATGGGAATTTTGGGGAAGTTTTGTGGAAGCCACAGATGACACAGAAAAAAAAGTTTAGAAACTCAGAAATGCATAAAATATATCTATAATATTGTATAATACCAACATGTTTTATCTTTTAATATCATAGTAATTCAGATTTCTTCTCTGATACAAGGGGAGTGCCAAAAATATTTTTTTTTGCAGATTTTCCAGATTGAGGTGAGAGAGCCCCTAACCCCTACGATGTAGAAGGGATAACTCTGTTCTGTTGGCTTTGGGTCTGCATAGTTGTGGCCTTGGATTCCATACCTGCCCTGGTATACCAAGTGTTTTAGGCCTGCTCCCTTGGAACTTTAGCTTCCCATCCATGCCCTCAAGAGACTAGGGCTTTTTGAGGAAGGGTAAGGCAGGCCATTTTTTGTTGCTCAGTCATTTTTCAGTCACATACGACTCTTTGTGACCCCATTTGGGGTTTTCTTGGCAAAGATACTGGAGTGGTTTCCTCCTCTAGATCATTTTACAGATGAACAGGGTTAAATGACTTGCTCTGGGTCACATAACTAGTAAATGTCTGAGACTAGATTTGAACTCTAGTCTTCCTGACTCTGGGCCCAGCACTCCATCCACTGAGACACCTGGATGCCCTATTTAATTTTTTGAGTGAACTAACATTGGCCTACCTGTAAATATGGATACATATACTCCACTTGTCTACTGGCTAAGGACTCTTGTAATTCCTTGAAGAAAGAGATATTTAAAAAAACCAAACAACCCAAAATCTCAGGTCTATGTTATATATTGAAGACTATTGTCTCCAAAATTATTTGAATAGTTTCCCTTTTTTTGGAAAATAAATTAATGGCAAAGCATATACTACAATGTGTTTTTTTTAAGGGTTCTTTGGATGAGAATAGAAAGTAATATGACTTAGAGTAATGTCTATTACTTAGAGTAATGTCTAGAGTAGCATCTTATAATTTTATAAATTCTTCCTCCTTTCAAAGAGGGAGTTAAGGCTTTGGTAGATTCAGGAGGAATACTGTAACCAGATACAAATGATATACTCTGGAGTAAGAACTAATCATACGAATTCATTTTGAAGCTCCATATAAGTAGAAATACCTTGTACGGTCCTAGTTATTTACATGTTGTCTCTCTTTCCTATTAAAATGTTAGTTCCTGAAGGGCAATGACCCTTTTGGTTTTGTTTTCCTTTCTTGTATCCCCAGCAGATAGCACAGTGCCTAATGTCTAGTAAATACTTAATAAATGCTCATTGATTGATTAATTGCTTTGCTGGATATATAACAAGAGGGCTCCCTCTTCAAAAATACATAATTGAGACAGTTCTGGAAATTTGAAAAAAAAATACATTTATACTCCACAGATGTGTATAGGACCAAAAGACCCAAAGATCAGGAATGACCTGTGAGTTCATAAGTGTAAATGCATCTTTAAGAGGTACTAATTTTTTTAAATGAAAACTGGTATTTTGAAATGGTAGTTGGTTCCCCAGGTCCAAGTAAGAACACAAGGAGTCTTTTAGCTGACTTGTAAAGATTACTTTGTAGACTTGGGTTTGCAAAATAACATGAAATTTTGATTCTGCCCAAACTACATATATAAAAAACTACATATAAAATAAAAATGTAAACATTTAAAGACAAACCAAATTGAGTACCCAATCCATGCTTCCAGATACAGAAAAAGTATTCTATTTAGGTTTGTCCAGTCTCACCGCTGTCTGTGGCTGAGCCAAAAATAAAACCCCCGAATCTTGCACTAACCAAAGTTCAAACAACATCTAGAAAACCCAGAGTTATATGCTGCTTCCAGCATGCCTCACTCCTTTTGGCTCTCTCCTTTCTCTCTCTCTCTCTCTCCTTCTCTCTCTCTCCTCTCTTCTCTCTCTCTCTCTCTCTCTCTCTCTCTCTCTCTTTCTCTCTTCTCTCCTCTCTTCTCTCCTCTCTCTCTCTCCTCTCTTCTCTCTCTCTTCTCTCTTCTCTCTCTCTCTCTCTCTCTCTCTCTCTCTCTCTCTCTCTCTCTCTCTCTCTCTCTCTCTCTCTCTCTCTCTCTCCCCCCCTCCCCTCCCTCCCCCATTCCTAACCAAATTAGAAAGCTAATTAGGATTCCAAAATTAAACGCTAAATGGGACAACCTGGCCTCAGGCCACAGTTCCTAGCACATCAAACATTCTCTTCCAAGAGTATGAAGAATGGTGGGAAGGGAGATGGGGGAAGCATAACTATTTCAGTCGTTTTTTGTTTCAGTGTTTATTCTCATTTGGCAGAGAGAAAACATCCCAAGCCCCAAAACAGGTTTGAATACATATCTGACAAAAAACATAAACACATCACCACCACCACCAGCGCGGGTAGGAAGCTTCTTAGCATTTTTGTAGGGGAGAGCTCTTTTTTAAGGTGAATCTCGACACTGACATAAAAAATGTCTTCAGGAACAGGTTATAGTTTCAGCTAAAGAGTCTTTCGAGAACAATTTTTAAAAGTTACTATGGCAACTTAAATTTGTAGGGCTGTTGCAAAACTACACAAGGACACATTTTTTGAAGCTGCTGTATGAAGCATATTAGATAATGATGTAAACTTGAGAATGGAGCATTTTTTAAAAAGTTTTTCTTAAAAAAAAAAAAGCAAACATCCATCACACTACCACATCCACAAGCTGGGCTTAGGCGCCAGAAGCAGGACTGCAGGAATACACTCCAAAGACTTGGAAACCTCAAGCCCGGCTGGGAACGTTTTTGCAGAATAAATTTGTTTGTTTGTTTCCATTTAGATGCTCGAACCACAAACACAATTTTTTTAATTTCTTAACTTATCTCCAAGGTCTGCATTACACGAAGGAGTGCCTAGAATGTGATTTATTCTTTTTATGAGATGAGAGTGGGGGTGGGAAGAGGACCAAGAAGTCTAACAGAGATCTTTCTGTCCAAATCTAGAAGACAAAAACGCCATAGGGGGGGAAAAGCAACCCACCCCAGAGCTGAAGGCAGAGAGTCTCAGCTCCAGGGGTCCAAAGGGTGTCTTCGTGCCCATACTTTCCTTTCCTTGCAAGCTGTTAGCCTTAGCCTCTCGCCGCCCCATAGTAGTGACAACTACTCAGGAGCTGGGTCCGAGCCACCTTTAAAGAGCTTATGACCTTTTCCTAAGGGCAAGGAAGACCACCAGGAACCATACTTACACCCCACCTCCCCCACACATACAGATGGTATGGCTGCAGATCTCTCAAAGGATCACCTCCCCCAGCCCTTTGGGAAATAAAGCTTTTGAATACTGTTTGTATGAACAGTATCTCTTTGCTAGAGGCTGTCCCCCCTACTCCTAACCCCACCACACACGAGCCTTCTCCAGAACCCAGGACGGGTTGCTCTGAATGCATCCTTCTCTTTGCATACACTCCAGGCTTCTACCTACGGGTCCAGTGGTGCATCTCGAGGCAGGGGGCTTCTTCTCACCAGCACCCTACCCCCACGCGCCCTTAAGAGATATTCCGTGTCTTCTGTGGGCGTCCATGCCCCTGCGGTCCAGCTCCTTAGCCTCCGCTGGCTCAACTTCCCGCCCTCCCTCCAGCTAAACTGAGCCCACCAGGTGGGCGGGCCGGCAGCGCCGAGGAGCACTTCATCTCTCTGAGAAGTCCTTACCTGCCCTTCCCCTCCACCGGGCCAGGCTCTGGAGTCGCTTCTCTTCCGTGCGCTTGGGCCGTGGAGCACGGCGAACATTCACCTACTGCCCTCAGACCCAGTCTCCCAAACCTGAGAGGCAAGCCTGGGCAAGAAAGGGGTGGGGAGCGAGGCAGAGGTGGCCCGGAGCACTGGTGCCTCCCCCACTTCCCACCTTTAGAGAAGGAGAAGGGTCCCAGCAGAGGCGGTCCTCTTGTCCCTTGAGTCTGGTCCGACTCCTCTCTAGCCCACGGTGATCAAGTGTCGCAGTTGCCTTAAGGCTGGCGGGAGAGTGTCAGGGGCAGAGGCAGAGTAGGGGTGACCTGGCGAGTAAACCAGGGGTTGTCAAGAAGTTGCTGACTAGAAGAGAATCAGCGGCGGCGGCGGCAGCAGCAGCAGCGGCAGCAGGAGCGGCGGCAGCGGCAGCAGAAGCGGCAGCAGCGAACACGTTCAGGCTGAAACTATGCCCGTGCTCGCCTGCCTTCCCTCTAGCTTCCCCTGCTCCCGGGGCTCCGCACGGGGACTGAGTTCCGAGGCAGCTTTTATGGGAGAACCAATCCCGTGCTGGGGGCTGGGCCCTGGAGAGAAGTGGAGGAGCGGAGGGGACGGGACAGGGAAAGGGGGAACGCAGTACAGAGAGGGAGGGGAGAAGTTGGCTGGGGACTGGGTGGGTTAGTTTCCATAGCCGTGGCCAGGGAGGGAAACCAGCTAAAGAAGCTGAGAGCGGGAATGGGAGTGAAAGTACTAAACGGGGGGGGGGGGCTGGGAGAAGAGACAGATTAAAAGGTGGAGGTCAAGCTGGTGGCAGGGACACAAGTCAGACATTCTTTTAAGAGTTTTCATGGTTCAGAAATGGTCTGGAGGAATTTTTTTTTTCAGGAGTGATGAAAAAACTTCGACACCCCTGCGTGTCAGAAGCTGTGAACAGTCACAAACGCCCAAGTTAAGGATTTCAACAAGAGTTATACAGGATACAAGAGTTGAAACGTTTTTCTTGAGTCAAGGTCATTGCATGCCAAAGGAACAAGGGATAAAGGGATCGAATGCTTCATGGCACCCACTTTGCACATTCCTCTAGGTGGACTTCTCAAGATGCTTCCTCACCTTCCCAACTTTTCTTCATAACTGAAACCGAGCTCTTTGACCTACAGAGTCCCGAGAAAATAGCCCCTGGATTTCCACTTCCCCTTGAGGGACATTATCATTTTCCAGTTAAAACAAAGGGGCTAGGTGGTGAAGTGGATAGAGCACCGGCCCTGGCTTCAGGAGGACCTGAGTTCAAATTCGGACTCAGACACATAGTACTTACTAGCTGTGTGATCCTGGGCAAGTGACTTAACCCCATTGCCTAGCCAATAAATAAATAAATAAACAAGCAAACAAATGAATGAATGAATGAATGAATGAATAAATGAATAAATAAAAGTACTTACTAGATATTATTCCTTCCACCACCCTTTTTTTTTGGTGGTACCCGTGATTTCATTGATACAAGGTAAACATACTCCAAAGATCAACATTTTTAAAATTGTCTGGGGTACTGAAAGGTTAAGTGATTTGCCCAGGGTTATATAATCCATATGTATCAGATGCAGGACATGAACCTAAGTCCACTGGACAGAGACCAAATATCCATCAACTAAGCCATCCTGCCTCTTATTTCCACATTTTACAAATGAGCAAATGCCAACTGCTAATCCAATGTCAAACCGAGGCTGAAAAGCAATTATTGTGCATAACATCAAATACTTTAGTTCTAATTAAAAAAAAACAAATCTTAATAAGATTAATATGACTTTAATAACTGTCTTATGAAGGAACAGGAAGATGAAAGTTACTGATTTCACAGAGTATACAGGGAAAACATCATCTGACTATTACTTCCTGCAGAACTAATATCTATGAAGCATTTTGTACTCAGAAGATTAAAAAAAACCTCGGCTAAATTTAGACTATAACTTATGACAGCTGTAAGGGCCCAAAATAAGGAGATACTTTTATTTTGGGAAACACAATTTTATGACAATTGCTCACCAGGAAGTGAATTAAAACCTTGGACAGCTCCAATGAACTGTATTTTAAGACTGCCAGAGCAATCCACAGAAAGAAGTAATGCATCTCTATCATATTTAGAAGATTACTCTAAATCACCTCAATAATTTTAGCAGAATTTAGCCATCCCTCCACAAGTCTGTGCGATGTAAAAATGGTGCAGCTACTTTTCAATGTGCGTGGAATCTCCATTCTTGGAAACCAGGATAAAACACCACCCTCAGAAGGGGAAGGGAACAAGCATTTATTAATCACCTATAATGTACTAGGCACTGTGCTAAGCACTTTACAACAATATCACAACAACCCTGTGAAGTTATAGCATCTACCTCACGAGGATGTTGTGAGGATCAAATGAGAGAATATTTATAAAGCTCTTGCCCAGTGCTAGCACATAGTAGGTGCTTATAAATGCTATTATTACATTATTATGATGTAGGTGCTATTGTTATTCCCATTTTACAGGTAAGGAAACTGACAAAGAAGTTGAGTGACTTGTCCAGAGTCACAAAGGAAATGTCTGAGACTAGATTTTAACTCAGATGTTCCTGACTCCAGGCCCAATGCTTTAACTACTGTGCCACCTATCTGCCTCAGAATAATCATTACGTGGAAAACTTTACAGCTTCTCTTTTCTAGACATTGCAGTTTATCAATGTCCTTCCTAATCTATGGTGCACAAAACTGAACTCAATACTGTGAGGATGGTCTGCCCCTGGCAGAATATAGGAGGTTATGACTTCTTTAGTTCTGGATACTATGCTTCTCTTAATATTATGCCTGAAACCGCACAATTTTTTTTTCCCACCCCTATGTGAACTGTTGGGTTCCAGACCTGAGTTTTGATCGCAGCTCTGCCATTGACTACCTATGACCTTGAGTAAATTACTTAACTTTTGTGGGGCTCAGTTTCCTTATCTCTAAAATGATATATTTAGACTAAATGAACTATAAGGTCCTCTCTAGCTGTAAAGTTATATTTTTAGTGTTTTTCCTTGGACTGGTGTGCAGAGGTTAAAGCAGAAATAGAAGCACGTGATTCTGAGGCCTGCTATGCCATTTGGCTCATTTCTTCTTTCCCAGAAGTTACATAGATTATGACAATTCTTTCCACTGGTAATCACTGATGGAGAGCAATGTAATCTAAGCTTGGATTTCCAAGTTCCTTCTGGGATGTTTGTAACAGTTGCACAGCCCTAAAATGTGTGTCATCAGTCAAAGATTATAGTCTACTTTAACCTTTTAGTCAACTCTTTAGATTTAAAAAATGATCGTTAGCATGATGTCAATCTTTTGACTTCACGGTATTCCACTATTCAATACACTCATTTTGTATAGGGACTGTTTCATTTCTATCTTTGTATTCCTAGCACCTACAGTGCCTAGCACATAGTAGGTGCTTAGTAAATGCTTGCTGACTGATGCTCATATAAAATGTCTATCATTTTGTTAATATGCTAGATGCTTTATTTTGAAAAATTAAAGTTTTTTTAACTAAAGGTTTAACACTAATCAATGCAATTTGTTTAATCACTAATTTTTTTCATCACTAATTTCAAGGCATAAAATATAATGAACTTTCAGTCACTCCTTCCAAATCTTCATTAAGATTTTTAATCCAATCATTCTTGTTCATTTTCCCTCTTGTATAGGAGTGAATATTCTATTTTTCTGGTTCTACTTTTTTTCCACTTTGGTGTACATACTATATTAATACTATAGGCAGAAAGCACAGCAGCAGTGAAACTGTCAGTGGAAACAAAACACATTGTCTGCAGCTGGGCAGGGCAGTGTTCACTCTAGAATGTTGTGTTCACTCCTGGGTACCAAATTTTAAGACATGTATTTAACAGAGTAGAGTCCATCTAGAGAAAGACAGCCAAGATGGTGGACTGAGCAATGGAAGCTGAGATACATAGCCTCAAGGAGACAAGAGGGACCCAATCATCTGATGCTAGCTGTCAAATATTTGAAGGGCTGTCATGTAACTGATTAACATTTTCTATTGGTCTCCAGAGCCCATGGCTTCTGGCCTAACCCAGTGAAATTTGCAGGCAGTCAGATTTTGGTTCAGCACAAGTTTAGAGCTGTCCAAAATAGGCTTCTTCAAAGAAAATAGTAAGTATTCCATGACTGGAAGGTTTCAAACAGAAACTAGACAACTGTTTGTTGTAGAAAGGATTCCTGTTTCCAGTGGGAAGTTGGACAGGAAATGTTTAACTATTCTCTAAAATTCCATAGTTTCAATACAAAACAGAAAATGGTAATGAAATCAAAACATCTTAGTGTCCATGTACAGACCATAATACAATCTACTAATTATATTGGCAAAGGAGAATTTAAACTTTCCTTTTAATAAATTTGCCAATAGCCATTAGCCATGGCAATAACTCATAATTTGGTACTTCCAAAATCTGTATGTACATTCTGTCCTAAAAGTTGATGAACTCAGGTTCTCTTGAACCATGGCAGACTTGGGACCTATATGGCAATATACATTCATGAGATATCAGTAGCATACACAAGGGAATTTACAGAACATAAAGAAAATATCAGTGTCAAAAAGATAAAAACAGAAACTGGAACTGTGATTTCATTAGTAAAGGCATACCTCATTTTATTGCATTTTGTTTTATTGAGCTTCAAAGATACTGCATTTTTTTTTTACAAATTAAAGATTTATGGCAACCCTGTGTTGATCAAGTCTTTTGGTGCCATTTTTCCAACACCATGTGCTTACATCATGTCTCTGTGTTACATTTTGGTAATTTTCACAATATTTCAAACTTTTTCATTATTATTACATCTGTTTAGGTGATCAGTGATCAGTGTTGTTATTGTAATTATTTTGGGGCACCACAAACTTTGCCCATATGATGGCAAACTTATTTGATAAATGTTGCATGTGTTCTGACTGCTCCATGGACCTGCTGTTCCCTGTCTCACTCCTTTCACTGGGTCTCCCTATTCCTGGGACAACAATATTGAAATTAGGCCAATTGATAACCCTAAAATGGCCTTTAAGAGTTCAACTCATTATTGTCTTATTTTAAGAAATCAGGGGCAGCAAGGTGGCGCAGAGGATAGAGCACCAGCCCTGAAGACAGGAGGACCTGAGTTCAAATCTGGCCTCAGACCAAACACTTGACACTAGCTGTGTGATCCTGGGCAAGTCACTTAACCCCAGTTGCCTAAAAAAAAAAGAAAGAAAGAAATCACCACAGCCTCCCGAACTTTCAGCAACCACCACTTTGATCAATCAGCTGCTATCAACATCAAGGCAAGACCCTCCACCAGCAAAAAGATTACGACTTGCTGAAGGCTCAGATCATGGTTAGCATTTTTTTTAGCAATATAATATTTTTAATGAAAGTATGTACATTTTTTAGACATAATACTATTGCATACTTAATAGACTACAGTATACTGTGAACATAACTTTTATATACAGTGGGAAACCAAAAGATTCATGTGA